CCCGCAGGGCAGAAAATAACCGGCCGACCGCCTTTGTTGTTATCCATGCAAGATATGATACCGGGGTCTCTTCCAATAATGTCCTCTTGCTTCCGGTCTTATTATTTCTTGCCCACTCCTCATGAAATCCGGAGTATGGTAGATCTTCCGCAACTTTAATGAACCTGCTCTCTTTACATGCCACTTTTGGGGACAATATCAGAGTTTCTGGCTCCGCTGATTTCTCCCAGTCGCCGCTCAAATCGTCAGAACCCCATCCCCGCTCCGCCATCAGATGCCACCTCTGATGAGCTACAGCGGACTCAGGTGTCCGGCGTAAGCGATGCTCCTCGTCTAGGGTCTTTGGAGTCTGTCATTCAATCCGGGATTGAACCACTTATTCAAGGCTCCGATGTGAGTTGGAATTATGCCCTTTCAATTGTTCTAATTTCTTCTCCTATTGCCTATATCCTCCTGCGTATACATTGAATAATCGTGATACGCTTTGGACATGCTCCTTTTCATTCTGCCTTTGCAGCGACGCAACGAGACTCATTGGATCTTTTAGAATCTCCATCGCTATGCCGAAAGATTTCCACCTTCCTCAGAAACTCGACCTGTACGTTTATTACTACGTCAGACCATTCCTCGATTACGTTTAGGGATGAGTCGTCTGTAAATATAACCTCACTCATTGGATACGGATTGGACAACGCTTATACGAAGGATACAGGTCTACACAAGATGCGTCGATGCGACGGGACCGCGCCATTTCGCGCCAGGACGAGCAGAGACTATTCCCTTCCTATTCTACACGGTACGTCACGAAGAAGCTGTTATATGTCGGGAATATTTGTGCGGCTGGGAGCTGACCCTGGGACTCTCTTCTAGTCCAAGTCCGAATGGAGTACCGATAGTGCCGGGGGAGACATTCAAGAAAACTCCAGGACAGACATCTAAGAAGAGGGACCCTTTTCAGGTATGGTGCTCTCGAAATGCGTTCATTCTCTTATGACGGGACTGACGTTGAGTATTGGTAGAATGTCAAGGGTGTCTTGAAACCAGTGGACAAGCTCTCCTCCAAAGCTCGAGAGAGCGGCCCGGTACGGGCACAGGGAATGCAGGGAAACCGCGGGGGGTATCAGACATTATCTGGGGTCAATATACCTCGTCCGCAGACCCTTCTAGAGCAGGACCTTTCGGAGAGACCCGTAAAGCGCCGGCGTCGAGATGTTCAAAGCTCTCCAACCGAAAGTATCATCGACCTTTCCGATGATAATAAAACAGGACATTCCGTTACTGAGTCGTCGTCGGTCATTGGAAACACCGCACGTCTGTCGCCCGGATCAAGCCAACAGTCACTAAAAGGTCATAAGTCAAAACGATCCAATCGCAACGCAGTTGATGAATTTCGACAGGTTGAGAAGAATATGAAGGCTACGAGGTCGCAAGTTAGCCCCAGATTAGGGGCCAAGAGATTTCGCCATCGCTTTTCCCCGGAGGACGAACTCGAGCAGTGCTTCACTGAAAACGCTGCCAGGGAAAGGCGCTTTTCAATACCGAGCGTGAAGCATGAAGTTCTTCAGAGTGTTGAGATACAAAAGCCACAGCGACTCGATAGGCCCGGGAGTCCATCCCTTCACGGTCATCCGACGAATGAAAGAAGAGACTCAGAGTCGCGAGAAAGTCCAGATGAACTGCAAGGGGCGGCAACGGTGCAGCCCGCCCAGGACTTTTCCCTCGAATTTCGTAAGAAAGACGTCAGGGGCGGCTTCAACGCTGGGAAGCAAGTGGCCCAAAGAAAGGCTTCCCCAGCCGACATCCGACCGACTGTCTTCGTCCCTTCGTCGCATCAAGGAAAATTCAAGCGCAAGATTACCAAATCTGGGACACGTCCTAGTGCCGACCGGTGTTTTCAAGCAACCTCTGTTCGATTCGGTACTACCACCGGACCTTCCTCGGGCGACAAGACCGTCGAGGTACATGTTGATCCAATCAATGAGACAATCAAAATGACCGGACCCGACCCCGCGAATTCGTTTCAGATACCCTACAATAAAGTTTTCAAGATCTTTCGAGGGACGTCGCCAAGCTGTAAAGTTAGGCTCGCTCTCAGAGAAGGTACCGGTGATCAATCGGTGGATATAGATCTCACATCCTCTGAAGCCAAGGAGGACCTTTCCACATTACTCGCCGCCAGTGGAGCTAAAGTAGTGGAAAAGGATGGGTACGTATCTCTCCTACTGAAGCTGTTAATCCATGCTCACCAAATTAGTAAATGGATGGATGATGCTTTCAAAAAAAACGAAAATACGAAAACTTCAGGAAGGTATCTGAACGGAATCAAGCGATCATGCACTGCGAGGGCTCCCGAACAGGGTTCCGAGACCACAGTTGAAGTACCGAAACGGCCAAAGCTTTCAGCCTCATTGCAAAACGACCTCAAATCTAACGTAGTTTCGCAATCCGGTCCAAGAGACTCGTCCTCAAGTTCTGGACTTGCGCAGAAGTTCCGAGAAACAGCTTCCGATGAAGCGATGAAAGCAACCTCTGTTAAAGCGGGTACTGAAGAGGCGGTGGAGATACCAGTCAAGAAGTACACAGGAGAGACCACAGCTTCCAGTCGTGCAACAAGGTCCACAACGCGTCGTATGCTGCCGGCAACAGTGGTTTCGTGAGTATGAGCTAGCTTCTAGAAATAAATTTTGCTAACCTGGCGTCGCAGCGATGATGAAGAGGAAAACTCGCCTCAACAGCAATGTCAAAAGATTTCCCAAAAGTGGCAGAGGTCTGTTGAACACTATCCGCTTCAGTCATTGCTTTGCAGGATTAATGGACTTGATAGGCCACTTGTATACCCGCGTTTCGGCAAGAAGAAGGCTGAAGTTGACGGTCAAGATCTTGAACGACTGCGTGATAACGAATTCTTGAACGACAACCTGATCGGCTTCTACATACGCTTCTTGGAGGATCATCTGGAACGAAACAACAAGGAAGTCTCAAAAAGAGTCTACTTCTTCAATTCGTACTTTTTTGCAACACTTACGAACCCGCCTAGAGGTAAGCAAGGCATCAATTACGAAGGCGTTCAAAAATGGACGCGAAATGTCGACATATTCAGTTACGATTATATCGTGGTTCCTATCAATGAAGCAGCGCATTGGTATGTTGCGATCATATGCAATCTACCAAAACTTCCGGGGATTGCCCAGGAAGAAGTGGTGGTGGACGAACCTGCGGAAAGAGATACAGAGCCTTCAGCTCCACCAAAGCGTGACGATTCGGAGAATCCGAACACGCCGGAGGCTGTTGGGAACATACCTTCCGACAGCGGAGAGACTGAAAGTGGCGCTCGTTCTGCACCAAATCCGGAAAAAGAGGAATTGGCAAGGGAGTCGTTGGCTGCCATGAGCTTGTTGGACCAAAAGGAGATGAAGGAGAGGGGGGAGCTGGAAGTACCTGCTTCTGACGAAGAGTGGCCAGAAAAAGAGGAGAACCCGGTATCCTCTCCCGCAAAGCTCTCGAGTCCTCCAAGAAATACGGAGCCCTCCAAGCAGATCAATTCTCAAGATGCCAGCCAATTCTCGGTCTCAGGAAGTCAGAAGTCACGGAAGCCAAAGAAAAAGCGCCATGGTCCAAGATATGAAGTATGGCAGCCGACGGTCATCACGTTTGACTCACTAAACTTGTCACGCTCCCCCACGATCAGCGTCCTGCGCAACTATCTCCGGGAAGAGGCCCAATCCAAACGTGGGGTCGATATTGACACAACCCTGGTCAAGGGGATGAAAGCTCAAGAAATTCCATTGCAGCCCAACTACTCGGATTGTGGCCTCTATCTGCTCGCATATGTGGAGAAATTCGTACAGGATCCGGACACATTTGTGACGAAATTGCTCCGAAGAGATATGAGAGTGGAGGACGATTGGCCTCTTCTAAGATCAGGGCTTCTTCGTTCTCGATTGCGGAAGTTTCTTGACGAATTGTATGATGAACAAGAACAATTGAGTCGCGAGAAGGCAGCTGAAAGGGCTACCATGGCGGACCGACAGCCAATATCGTATCTCCTTGGACATTCTGAAGACAAGACCGTTCTTGCAGTTGAGAATATGGAGTATGCATCGGAGAAGTCGCCTAACGGAAATCCACCGCCTGAGAAGTCCGGGTTAGAGCCTGCTCAGAAGGCAAAACTAGGGGAGTCGCGGTCCGTGACTAGGAGCTCGTCCAGAGATGGTACGCCAGATAGTAAGGCGAAAACGAAAAGATCAACGCCTCAAACGTTGGCAGCAAGTACATTAGGGAGCACTACGCGCAAGGAGGTTGTCGAGGTCCCGGACAGTCAAGAACAAGTCCAACAGGAGGATGTCACGTCACATTGTCTCCTTCACGTCGAAGACTCTCAAGGCGGACAAGCGCGATCTCGGCCTCAGGGTGCAAAACCTGTTGAAGACGACGCAGAGCAAATACAGATACCTCATCAATCAGCGGACGATAGCATTGTTGAGGTTCAAGTCCTTGGGACGCCACCGCCGGGGTTGTCAACAGAGAAGCAGGATGGTGTTCGAAAGAGCCCGAGGTCGCTCAAGAAAAGGGCTTGAGCATACTTGAGAGGACGCGGATTATACCTCACATTGAAAGCAGACATAAACGATTTTCTCTCTTGTTTGGTGTTTCGGATGATACGGGTAGGGAAGGTCATTTGTTTTTGCGGGATGCATGAGATACCAAGCATTGCATATGAGTTATTTGTTACTTCGATATGAGCACTCAGCTGCATACGTATGATGTCACCTTCGCCATCATAAAGCTCAATGGGCATGTATTCAAGTTGCCTTAAATAAGACTTTCCGGAACGAAGATGATCTAGGTTGGCAGTCAACAGCTCTATGCTGGCTGTTCTCTATAGTATGATATATCTAAATACCCTCGATATCTGCGTCCATGCTCGTCCGACTCACCCAAGTCACCACTCGCTCTCGTCCGCGTCAACCCACCACGCCATCTTATCCCTCTTAAAGGCCTCGAAATCCCACTCCGCATCCTCCAATCGATCCTGCCCAGCCACATAAACATACGTCAAAGCCTCCACCTCCTCCCTCTCATCCGCAAACTCCGCCCCAGCCGCATCAAGCACATCCTTCAGGTGCCGATCCGGGTTTTTCGCAATGCTCGCCTCCTGCCGCCCACCCACACTCAGCGACTCCGCCAGCACCCGCACCCTCACCCTCTCCTTAACATACTCTGACCCCTCGAAGACATCCAACCGGTGTACGTCCCCGTCCGTCAAACCAGATACGACAGTCCCCAGTACCGAGGCGCTACCGGAGTCTCCTGTCGAATCTTCAATATCATTCCGGCAGGGCACGATGCCGGGGTAATCGGCTCCGCGGACGCGGTGCCGGCGGTAGCCGTGCAGGATGGCGGGCTTGAATGAGAGCATGCCCTTTTGCCAGGGTTCTGGGTCCGGGCGGCCGTGGATAACTCTGTGGAGGATTTGAGGGGCCATCAGGGTTCCTGGGTTGCGTTTGTTAGTACGGGTTTGTGTATTTGGGGGTTTACGCAGTTGGTGTGCTGGAGGGACTGGTTGGGGTAAGTGGGAGAGGCATCTGGCGAGTGATGTTCGTTGGGTTATGTGCAGGGCCAGTGGTCGTGGGCAAATAGCTCACCGTAGAAAAAGAGGACGTGGTCGCCCATATTTGGTTATCTGGTGTACTCAGTGGTACTTCTTTCCTTCATACGGTAGATGACGGTAAGGTAGAGCTGGTAGGATGAGCTTGGGGAGAGAAACTTTTCCGGGCTGCGGCTTGAAAAGAAGGCGCAATTTGAGATATTTGCAACGGTTACTGATTTGTGCGGCAGGAGATGCTTGTTAACAAAGGATCTCTAAAATTCCAATTTCATAGCCTCATGATCTCATCTCTAGTCTCATGGATTCAATGAGGGGAAACCTTGAGATAGAAAGAGGAGACCCACCGCTTATCGATAAGACACTGCTAGTGCGAGTAACTGCGCCACTGTTTATTGACCGCCCGCATCGAAAAGGCCCATGTGGCTTCAAGCATCATCGCGCCGCTTTGCCCTTGGCATCATCGGGGACGCTGGCTCCTCCTGTTCATTTCTAAGCCGTATTCTGATTTAACTTGTTGTTCTCAATTGACCAGTCGTTAAACCAAAGACAGCTCATCACACTGGAGTACCCGGTGTAACTAAACGAGATGCACTCGTCCCTGAACAGAGCGCAGGGCGTCTTCGGCTTCTTCACCACTGTCGCCTTGTTTGTTGCTGGAGTCGCTGCACTGTCAGTGCTGCTGTATCCTGCGCATGACGCGAAGGCTGAGGTCTCGTTGAAGAATGTCCAGGTGTACGTTTGTTGATGATTGATTCCATCCGGATGTTGGTTGCTAATGGCTTTTCCAATGGTAGGATCAAGGGCCGGCCAAATCACTATTCAACCAAGAAGGAAGAGTATGCGCAGATCAGGTTCGATCTGAATGCTGGTACGTATCTGATAAACTCCGTTTGCGACTCCTGAGTTAAATCTAGACCTCTCAGACCTCTCCTCGCTCTTCAATTGGAACACAAAACAAATCTTCGTCTACGTCTACACTTCGTACTCGTCCTCCGACAAGAAGTCTTCTCTTCTTCCCAACTCTGAGTCCATCATCTGGGACACCATCATCTCCGCCCCTGAATCGCCTTACTCGTTCAATGCCCTCCGCCAGCGCTTTTTCCCGGCCAAATCGTCCTCCTCGGCCCGCAAGAACCAGAAGCGGAACACTTCCGCCTCGAAGAAAACCTCGGCCTCAAAGAAGGAGACTCTCGCGCCGGGCGTGCTCCGTCTGAGCAACCAACGGGCTAAGTACCAGATCAGTGACATTACAGGGAAGCTCGCGGAGCGCAGGAACGTGACGCTCTCTGTGGGCTGGAATGTCCAGCCCTGGGTTGGTGCGTTGTGGTGGAGTCCCGGCTCTGGTGCTGTGCCCCGGACCGTCGGTACTGTGGTCAACAGCGAGGCTTTTGATTTTCCTGCTTTGAAGGGAAGCAAGGCCTCTGCTACTAAGGCGGCTGCATCGGGTGCTCAGACGGCCTAGAGTCTAGCAGTATGTCAATGAACAATGAAGGGCAGTTTTGATTGCCAGTCTCATTTGTTGAGATATCCATTATAAGCTTCTCGAGTCGTCCAGAACCGTAAGAAAATATAATAATGTAGACCTGAAACCAAAGTGGCCATAATAATGAAATTTTAATGAAAATGGTATTTAGGGCTGGGCCGGGTTAAGGTGTAGAAAGGGGAAAACTTATACACAAAGTAACATGTCATTATCTGAGCATTAATCCCCAACACTCTTCCTGTGGTAGTCCGTATAGTGTTCGTCATTCGTATCCTGAATCGGTCGCTGTTGTCCTGAATCGGCCGTAGTGGGATGAGCCGCTCAAACAGTGCTACCATATGATCTTTCATTGTGTCCTTGCAGAATACGTTGCGAATACACCCCAGGAGCGCGCTTTCGAGTCATTGGGTCCGTATTGCTGTTGTGATAGTAGACGTATTCCAGGTAGAAAGCATGGATATGACCCGGGAAATATCTATGTCTATCAGCAGACTATTCCATACGCCTCAAATATCAAAGCACGGCCAAATGGAGAAGGTACCGCCTGCAAAACCTAAAGAAATGTTCACTCACCCTAGGATCGTGAGCAGAATATTGATGAAGAAGTCCACACTACAGCCCGAAATCATAAGTACGCCGAGAGGAGGTACTAGCAATCAAATCCACGTTAGAATGATCCTTCCTGTTGATACTACTTGAACGAAATCAACCAAATAGGCTAGACTTCGTCTGATCGATGGGGATTTCGTCTGTGTAAAGAAGAGTGACAGGAGACTTACTGAAGAGAGTGACCAAAATCAAACAGAGCATTGACGCCGTGCCTGCCATTTTGTCCAGGGAGAGTCTACTTTGCTAAGTTTCTGATGATTTGACTGATGATCTGCTTGAACTCCAAGACGTTCCCAGGAAGCTGAGAAATAGGATTGCGAACAACAATATAAATACGTAGATTGGAGTGTTGTCATCAATAGAGGAGTTGAGACGCTTCATTTTGTATGTTTGAAGGCAAAAGAGGGATCAGCAGCCAACCGCCACGCCACCAACGAAGTATGATTCAATCATACAATAGGCCAAAACTAGGACAGCGCAATTGTCCAAAAGCTTGAGACTTGACCGGTAGGGCTGAAGGCAGAAACATATTGGCCTTTATGAAGCACTGATGTCATCCCGCAATGTTCCGAGCGCGGATCATTTATTTGCTACGGGATATTCCTGTTTTGGACATGCCTAGACAGAAAGTGCTAGCCAGGATGTGCTATATGAGTGTACATTTCTGCACTCCACAGAGGTGGTTATATTGTGCGCCCATGTACGTGCCATTACATGTCGCTCCGATAAGTTTCTCAACTCCCTCGACTCATGCTTCTTCCAAATTCTCCACAACCTAAACAAACGTGAGGTGTGACGTGAAAGTGTAACATGAGGTGCAAGTAATGGGTCCGCACTTTAGACTCCTAACAATCAAACAGCATCAATGGATGCTCTTGTGGTGACTTGCTCGTTTTTGTTGCCGAGCTTTGATATCTGCAAAAACGCATCCACTCCATAGCCCTCAAGGCTATGTAACTCAAGGCTGCCTGCCCAATATTCTGCATAGACCCTGCTCATAGGAAGGCCAATTCCAAGGCGTAGATTAGGTGGACGAGAGGTGAGCGAGTCAAGGGAACCCTCTCGGTATGTTTCCCTGTCGGCGTGTTTCCGCTCCTTGGACACTGTCAGCTCTTGCATCGTAGCTGCCATCGCAGGGACCTGTTTCAAATTCTGGAGTCGTGATTTGCTCAGAGGGCCTTTGTCGAAGGACCATAGATATGGCATAACTTCACGGGGTATCCCTCCCCCTTGATCCGATACTCGCATGATCACATGTTGTGGCGCCTCGCAGATAAGAACTTCGATGGGCGGAGGCTTTTCGGAAGACTCTCTGTATTTTTCAATGACAGCCTGGATGGAGTTGCGCAGAAGCTCGCCAATGATATACTCTAAATGGCTCAGAATATACGGGAAAGTTGCTTCGAGATGTCCCTGTACAAGGATCTCGGGGATCTTATCTGTTCCCGAGCTTTGCCGCATCATATCCTGCGCAAGCTTCCCGCAACGTTCAATCACCTCTTTCGCATTGCACTTGAGAAATACCTCGCCAACAAAGTCTGCGTTCATATCAGTCCGGTCCTGCGAGCCTGGGAAGTGCCAGGGAGAACTGAAAGTCTCTGTCAAGGCTAAGTGCTGCTCTGCAATGACCCGACGGGAAATTCTCTAGAGATTGTGGGTAAATTAGCCACTCGCATAGCAAGAGCGGTATAACATCCGATTTTGGAGATCTCCATACCGATCGAAGGAGAGTGTTCATAAATTGATCCATCACGCCTGGTGCTACAAGATCCCGACACTCCAAAACACCCATTGCCAATTTCGGAATCACGACGAGATGCTCCTTGAGTGTCTTACGCAGGATGTCACAGAATCTTTCGTTATCCTCTAGAGTCTTGATCTCCGGTATGACGCGAAACCGTTCAAATGCCTTGTAGTAGAGCTCATATACAAGGGAAAGATGTGGATTTGCTACAACCACATACGGCAGCTTCTGGATGTCTCGCAGTCGATGCGCAATTCTGGTGTTGGCAATCACAAACGCAAGTCAGGCCGGCATGGCTCAAGGCATGCAAGGGGAAAGCGCATACTGACCTGGTTGGCAGCTCTGTTCGCACATAGTTGGCCGAACTGATAAGGCGTGATTCGGTTAAGGTCCGCCCAAAGAAGGTCAATTGCCGCAGACTAATAGGCCGAATCTCGCGCTCGACCCATCTGTCACGCATAGAGTCAGCAGCAGTTGTACTTATGCTGGTAGGATTGCATACTCGTCGAGAACGGAGCCAGGTCTCCACGGAGGCGGGCTATGTGAGTTGTCAACACTGGAGTAGCACCGTACTCGAGGTTTGTAACTCAGTCGAAGCGCATGCCAACACCGAAATGGTTGATTTCGCTGCATGATGCGGTTGACTCAAGGCGCAACGGAGCTTCTAAAGTTTGAGGATATCGCTCCGCAGTGGATGTTGACTCAGCCGGGACGATTGACCAGTATAAGATAGATATAGCGTCTTCCGTACATGGCTCATCTGCAATTAGCAGCTACCAACAATTCTTGTCTCTCACTGGTGGCATGACATCTTGCTGGACATGTAAATTAAATTATGAGTAGGTGAGTAGAGGTGCCAGTGACAGACAGTTAATCTAGGGCGGTGAGTGCTTTGTCCTGACATGTGACGTCGACACTATCCATGAAGACTTCCAGTTGCTTTGTTGATTTTCAGCAACCAGCATCAACAGCAATGTAAGAGCATTGAAGATCACTTTACATCCTATCACTGTCGGAGCATATCTCTAGAAGACTAAGCCAATGTCAGGTTTCTGGTATGAAATAAAGTACAGACACCTGGGAATTACGTGATGAGATACAATGATTGATCCATGCTACACAGCCTACCACATGACTAGATAGGCTTGTGGCTGCAGCATCCATTCCCAGCTTAGTACTTCGTGGTGCTTGGTTATTCCTCGGCTTTTGTCTGGGGCCTGCATCACGAGTGACATAATCTTCGAGGACAACACTGTGTAGCCAGTTGTTGGTCTACCTTTGTGCACTCTCTTTTCTCATGCTCTCACTCTGAGATACCAGGTGCAAGATGATAGATTCTGGGAAATTCTGACGAGTAAGAGTCAAAAGATAACAGAATAACATAGTTTTTAACGCCTTGGTGGTCGCTGCACCCGACTATACCGTCAAGCTTGAGACATCTATAACCTGTCCTAATCTTACCTAAGTGAGAATTTACACAGGTGATAATGCAAGACAGACCAGTAGAACATCAGCTACATTGATAAATCAAGCACTTAATCTCTCATTCCTCTCTTCTGCAGGTGCTACATTTAGATTGCTGTACTGGAGCAATACTCTGCAGCGGACCTTATTCATAGGCGGTCTCAAGTGTCCCACCTGTTTTTATTGGGTTCTGGAACTCCGCCACTAGCTTCATCTCCTGTGAACCGGAATCTGGTCCTTCAGATCTCTTTTCACCACTTACTCATTGTCTTGTGTCACTCTCTTATTCATATTCTTCTCATCTTATCACTGTTCTGACTGTTGTTCGCCTTCTCCTCTGTTTGCTTGCTGGGTAGCTCCCCAACGCGTCCTTGATTGCCGGTATTTTCAGGTGACGTGCTTGAGCGCACTTTTCTTTCTTCATGGACAACGTCAGTGCCCCGTTCATTTCTGACTCCGCATAAAAAAGAAGAGAAACAATCCAGAGTCGCTGAGACATTATTTACCAATATCTGACATGTGTACTTTTCGTCTTATAGGTTGCGGATAATGAGATGCTCGTCGATGAATATGAGCAGTATCACAATGACAGGACAGATGATGTCGTGGTTTCTCGCTCCGGATCAGAGGAGCCGGAACCAGAGCCCCTTGCGGATGACTGTAAGATTGTCTACCGTGCCATTTAGATGTTATACACTTTCCCACATTTGTTCAAGATGGCTTTGGATCGTTACCTCGGTCCTCGCGCAAGGGTCGAATATCCAAGAGTCAATGCTGGCGCCTAGATCCACACACCTCGTCCCTCGCAATGACTCGAAGGCATTGTACTAAGCACTGGTATAGTTCCGGCAATGATGGCGCGCATACTTCCTAAGGATCCGGACCTGGAAACCGCGGACGAGGCATACCACACATGGCACATCCAGGATTGGCGGAAGTTGAAAAAGAAGGAACATGGACCAGTATTTCAGTGTGGGGGATTCCCATGGTTAGTAGAGGATTTGAAAAGCACTCCGGTTGCTCTCGCCGTCTGACATTTGCTTAACAGGCGGGTTCTTTTCTTCCCTTACGGAAATCATGTCGATTATGCCTCTTTCTATTTGGAGCATGCCTGGGAAAAAGAGCCTCCGGAAAACTGGTATGCATGCGTCCAGTTTGCTCTGGTACTGTGGAACGTCAATGACCCATCAATTTACGTATCTCATGGTATGTACCTCGTTGGCCCTTGTGCTCTCTTGTTTTCGTCCTTCTGAACCTCAATGTAGTCGCTACGCACCGTTTCAATGCCGACGAGGGCGATTGGGGCTTTACCAGGTTCTGTGAGCTGCGCAGGCTTTTCAACATGCCGTGGGAAGGCCGTGGAGTCCCGCTGGTACAGAATGATGAAGCTAAAGTCACTGCCTACGTGCGTGTTGTGAAGGACCCGACTGGGGTACTCTGGCACAGTTTTCAAAAGTATGTACTGCCTTGAATAAGTCAGCGTCGCATGAGGCTTACTCGACCTAGTTACGACTCGAAGAAGGAGACTGGCATGGTGGGGTTGAAAAATCAGGGCGCAACGTGCTACCTCAACTCCCTGCTGCAATCCCTGTATTTCACAAATGCTTTCCGCAAGGTAAGGGCTTCCTTCCTTAGTTATCTTTTGGAGATATTGACTATTTTTTGAAGGCCGTGTACCAAATTCCCACAGAAGAAGAAGCGACGCGAGAGAACAGTGCCTGGACACTCCAGAGGCTCTTCTACAATCTTCAAACGAGCGAAAACTCTGTCTCGACAACAGAGTTGACGGCATCATTTGGCTGGGAATCGCGGCAAATCTTCGAACAGCAAGATGTCCAGGAACTTTCCAGAAAGCTCATGGAAAGATTGGAAGAGAAGATGAAAGCGACACCAGTAGAGAAGGCACTGCCTGAACTTTTCGTCGGCAAGACGAAGACTTATATTTCTTGTATTAACGTCGACTACGAATCGTCGCGTGTGGAAGACTTTTGGGATATCCAACTCAATGTCA